CCCATTTGAAGAGGCCACAGGTGCTGAAAGAGGAAGATGAAAGGTTAGGATTGGGTTGGAATCCATTTGCTGCACAATACCAGAGGACCAACAGCCCTCCTACATCCTTCCAACAATGCACAGCAGCCAGATGGAACAGCTTCAGACCCTGGCACTTGCTACTGTAATGATAAAGTGTACGCTACTTGCTGGATGGTACAAGTACAAACACACTGCTGGGGAACACTTCCTACCTGCAGGGCTTTTTTGGTAGCCTGTTAAGAGAGATGGCTCTGTTTCCACAGGGGCACTTGAAAAATCGCCTCACACCCTCGTGCCAGTGGTAATCATGATTCTCCTTCAGGCATGTATCCAGGGGCTTGAAATAGGAGTATTTGCACTGCAAGGCAACAGGGGAGGGGGGCAAGAGAGCACGCTGAGACAAGCAGAGACTGCGTAACATGTACCAGTACGAGAGCCACAGCTGGGACTGAGCGCTCGTTCTGGATCAGAATAATGCTCCCCTCTGTTCTTTCATCCCCAAGGCGGCAGCCATGCTGTTGAGGTCGCTGCCTCTGGACTTTGCCATTGGCCCTTCCCACACTGCCCCTTCCTCCATCCGCTACCACCTTTTGTCATGCTTGGCCCAATTCCCAGCAGAGACCAGAGCACACAATTGCCTTGTGTGTAGCCACAGACAGTGGGGAGAGGCTTTGCGGGGAGGAAGTGTGCTAGAAACTGCTCAGGCAGGGAAGAATTCTCCCTGTGCATTTTAAAGGGGTAAAACTCCATCTCTGTCACTGTTGACAGTCAGCAAGATGCAGATGAAGTAGCCTGGGCGTTAGGACTGTTATTGTCCAGTACTGATCATTTGCACAAAGCCTAAGAGACTCCAGGGTCCCAGGACAGTTTCAGGCTGGCAAGAAAAGCTGGTAACTGGACAGCCTGAGGGACCAGCGGCCAGGGAACCTGAGCAAACTTAGCTTGGGGAACCTCAGAGGCAGCATCCAACTCCTTCAGCATCACCTCACGGCTCCAGCTGACGCTACCAACATCACCAAGCAGCCAGCCACTTTCTTTACAATCATGGGCTTTAACAAAGCCAAGCAGGGCTGCAGGAGCACAAACTCCTATTCCAACACAGTGAGTGCACCATATACCTCCCTGCTCCTGTTTTACTCACCGTCTTGCACGTCACCACCCGGCACTTCTGCTCTTTAATGCTCCTCATCTTCTCTTCCAGCTCTTCTTTCTTCACCAGGGGCTCAAAGTAGCGTTCCTGAAGTTCAGCCTCAAACTGCCATGACACAAGAGAGACACTGTAGTCTGCTGTACAAGCTGCAGGAGCAGCTCCCCACCTAGTGGCTGAAATCTTTTTGAAGCTCCAAATAATCCATTTTATATGTTCTTGTTAGAAGAGCACATTAGACCATGTGCACACTTCTCCACTGAAATGCAGCCACCTCTGGGATACATCACAAAAGCTACCTAACAAATGGGCACTCATTTTAGCACAGGGAAGCAAAAGCATTGGGAAGTTTCACAGTACCACAGCCTCAACAGGAGAGAATAAGAGTGCTCTCTCCTGGGAGGTGGAAGAGGTGGGTTTGAACATCATAGGCTGAGGAGGGATTTGAACCCAAGTCTCCCACTTCCTGGCTGAGTGCTCCAAGTACTAGACTATAAAAGAAGCATGCCACCATGTTTTGAGAGAAAACCAGGGGAACCAATGGCCTTGTACTTGAATTCATAGTTTCACAGTTTCTAGGGTCGGAAGGGACCT